TCTACAAGAAAGGTCTTATACAATTTTCCCGTAGATTCAACGGTTTAAGAGTAATTAAGGAAAAACGAAATTTTTCGCCAAAAGTTTGCTGATTCGACGGTGGAATGGTCGGATTTTGTCAGTATCAATAAAATTACAAAATATAATATATACATAAATAATAAATAATAAAGTTTTTAGAAGAATGATAGATTTATTAATTTAATGATGTTTGTTACAATTATGCCTTATGTAAAACTCCCAGCTTTCTTAGAGCGATGTACGCTTCTCAATCGGCTAGCCAAGAGTGACTCTGGACTCTGGAACGCTGTCGTTTCAATTCCTGGCCCCTTTTTCCCTTATCGTTCTACGACAACGTACATTGACGACCACAGTATTGCCAGAGCCCCAAATATGCTCTGCCTTACACTTCAGCATACCTAACATTAAAATATTATATGGTATTAAATATAGCTGAATGTTCATAGCAGATTTGATGAAATTATGTAACAAAAATGTTTTGCGTGAGGCACGTTTTATTGAGATAGCCTGTAGCATTTCGATTAAGTGGAGTTGGATTCGGGTAAGAAGCGCAAGAAGTGAGATCGCGCATAGAAGGAGCTGGGTTGTAGCATTGTGTGCCACGACAGACGTTCTGTCACGGCGAGCGAGCAGCGTTATTACACGTCAAAGGACAGCGACAAGCTGCGTCCGCGGTCGTACATCAAGCCGGTTGGTTCTAACTTAACCGGTGCGCTCGCGGCCACGTTGATACCCTCCTCCGAGCACGCATCGACAAGATGGATCGGTTATGTTTGCCACTAAGAGACAGACCCGACGTTTAACCGATTGTATTTATGACACTTCCACAGACAAACGTTACATTGGCTCCCTTCCACGCATTCACATCTCAAAACATAAGGAAAATACGAGCCGAGAGTAAAATGTAATTTTTACTTTATCAAGGAGATATCGATTTCTCAATACATTGGCGAATCTCGCATTTGAACAATAAAATCATTCAATAAAAAACTTTTTACATGAATTATGTTTATAATAATACTGAATAATAAGTATGTGACAAGCTTATGTTAGACATTTCATAGAGATGGGTGAAGATCTCAAGAGAATCTTAGAACATTTCGCATATTTTCTGAGAAGGCGTAAGTTATGTTTGTTTGAAGTTCGGAGAGTACATACTTTATCCCGGACAGACAGAACTGGATCAAGACAGACATAATAATTGATGCATGTTCATGAGTCTCTGTTCATGTTCGCGTGCTCTCTTTGGAATTCCGAAAAGCAAATACGCAAGAATATTTCTCTAATTCCAGCAACGTTAAACCAAGAAATATAATACTACACGACAGATTAAACACTGTACGAATTATCAGCAATCATTCTTACAATTAAATCAAAATCAGTTATTCATATTACGTTATAAAGCGTATTTTATCTGTACAATCATATGAAGTAGTAAACTTTAGAAATTTCAAACCAGTGAAGTTCAATTGTACTTTATTTCTATGATAATATGAAATGGCTCATGATAGAAACAGTGGAATAATACCGGAGGCAAGCTTTGCGACTAAACTCTCAAAGCTCTCATAACTTCCGGACGGTATCTCCCCGTTGGGGCAGGATCGACGCGGAGGAGCTAGCGACCTGACGAAAGCCAGGGAATATCAGCGCTCAGGACTCGTACATGTACGCATATCCCAGCTTTGTGATTTTAACCTCGAGTGCTTGCAAATATTTACGAATCAGTAACGGCTAATTATGCGTGTCCACTCGAGTTTCCACTATGGAATACTGTTCTCTTTGCTCCTGATACCGGCCCTTTGTGGATCCTACTTCACGATTCCATGCGTCCTAATTCGGACTAGTTAGTGTCCGTCGTAAAGATCATACTCGCTACATTTTCTAAAGGAAGTTACACGCAAAATAATGAATGAATGGACTGTCGACTTTTATTTATTCATTGTACATAAGAGAATTTTATACAAGGTGTTTCAGAATAGACGATGTTTTCCAGTGAAGGTACGAAAGAGATTGAAATTCTGAGTCGGAAATTTCTCTTCCACTTTCGTCTCTAACTGCTACTAACAAAGTTATTAAATAGTGAACCAACTGGGACACTCTGTATATAAAACTTCACCAAACCTATGGTATTATTTAGAAAGATATCACATAATCACCGATACTTATATGATTTCTTATGATCATTCTACCGAGGACGTTATTAATTATTATCAGAAATTGTGATAGACAGTTTGGAGGATCTTAAAACTTGTGTATAACAATTCGTCGAGTAGGGGAATAGTCGGTGAGTGATACACTCGATCAAGGATAAAAGCGATCGAGTGGCTTTGAAACTCGACTGGCCGCGATAACATTCGGATAGGTATGTAGTCATAATGGGATCGGCGATGCGTGTTTCGTGATATCGCCGCTAACGCAACACGCAAACCATAAACTGGCCTTATTAATTGCGGTGGAGTGATTACCAATTGACACATCCTCGTCGCTCAGCTAAAATGCAGGTAGATATACGTGTAGTGTGAATCGGCGATTATCTGAATTCGTCGCCCATTCATTTCATTATAGAGCATTCACACAATGGGGTTTCATTTGCCACGATACGAGAATATCTTCATTCAATGAAAATGTTAAGCGTCTTGTAATTCAATCGATGTATGATAATAATTATTGTTGTTCTGTATGTGAAGAATCAATATAATCAATTAATTCTACATGTGTAACGTGCTTCATAAAATAATTAGATAAATTAAATAGTTTAAGTCAGTTTATGTTGAGTTTAAGCAATTTTTCTAGCTTTTCCTAAAAGTTCTGAGCTTTTTTTGCAATATTAAATCTTTATTCAAAACCAAGCAAGAAAATAATTAATCAGCGAAATATTTCCCGTTTGAGTCAATGATCTTTTGCTATCGGGTAGCTTGCATATTCCTTGACGATAAAAGCTCACCGGCTTCGAAGCGATAAAGACATAAATTCATTTTCGTATCTCTTCAAATCTCACGAAATGTGTATCAACCAAATGATGCTACAGCAACTGGAATAGGTAGCAATCGGAAGGCGTCATGTCTGGGCTATACGCCGCATACGAGAGATGTTCCCACCCTAACGCAAAGACATGATCAGTTTCAATCTCTTGAGGCCGTCCAGCACGCGGTTCATCTTCAAGACTGAAATCTCTTTGGCGAAATTTTTGATATCATCTTCTACATAACTTAAACGTACTTCATATGCAGACATAAATCCCAGTCGCATCAGGAGCATTTTTATTCACATTAAACGCGAAGTGGACGGAAACTCCAGTATGCTCTTTCGTTATTGCAATCGTGAGCACAATGATTTTCAAGATTACGTGCATCAAACACCAAATCGCATGGTATTTTAGGAGGCCGAATGGCAACGTTTTAAAACTGCGAATAAATAAAATTAAAATTATCATCTCGATTGTATGAAATCTGAAGCTGAGAACATTTTCGCGCGTATTCATCACGTACATTCACAAATTTGCATTAACGAATTTATTAATGTACGTGACTAAAATACTGTTCGGTCTAGTAGTCGGTTTTCCTGGAAGGAGATCTGGAGCTTATTACAGAGAATGAAACGCAGGAGGCAACCGGTATTTATAACTTCAAGTCCGCGTATTACACATTGTAGAATGCGGAGTATTAAATCATATTCGCGTCTCGTAAATCGCGATAAAACCTCGCTCCGAGCAAATACAAGCTACCTATTAATTATCGCGATACATAACCATGAATCATCTTTGAGAGATAGAAGGACAGCTTGGATTCCGCGTTGCCAACCGAGGAGTGCTACCGCTCTTTCAAGTCACAAACGCATTGCGTGTACGTGCGGTGCGCCTAATCGACAGATATTTTCGGTTCTACTGGACAGACGCTCGTCTTGAAAGTTAGTATAATTGGATTTTATTTTACATGTACGTTAAGTAATTAATGGTACATAAGAAATTCACATATCTTTGCACACACGATTCTTAAAAAAATTAAGGAGTAAACATTATTAATGTTTATTTTAATAAAATGAAATTGATGATAAGCCGAGCGGAAATAAATGAAATGAAAAAAGGTTGGTCAAGCTTGGACAGAAGTTCGGTCTCGCGTATAAAATTCAATCAAATCAATTGGACGTGCAAATATTGATAATTTCAATAACGTACCTGTTCAAGAAAATGGGAAGAATGTTTGCACGTCTCGACTCCTCGCTCGAGAGTTTATTGAAAATGTTTGCCGCCAGTGTCGTTTCATCGTACCTAACATCCCGAGTGGAATATTGATGCGAAGAGCTGCGCAATCGATTCTTAATCGAGCGCTCGTTCGCTCTGAGAATTCTCGGAATCGATTTTTCTTCGGAACGACGTTTCGTGCAAGCATTAGAAAACGAGATGACTCTATCCATTTTAATGAAAACATACAGCTTTTCTGCCGTCCACGTTCGATTATACAAAGAAAATTATTGCAGTCTTGTAACACCTGAAAAGAATTTAGTTGATTGGTCCAATATTAAAACAGGTATTCCGTTTTTGAAATATGTTCGAATGTTGAGGAGAGCCACTATACCTGTCGAATGCCTAAAGATCAGTTTTCAATTATAATTGTCTTTAAATAATTAACTTTCGAGAATCTGTCACTCTTTATTGTTGTTTTCCTTAACTATAGTGAATAAATTTGGTCCTCAGAAGAAAACGTGATAAATTAAAATTGCAATAACTTTTAAAGGAGCTAATGAACTTTCTCCATGATTTCCACGTACATTCTTAGTGATAATTAACATCAGATAATAGGGGCTTACCGATGGGACATTATTTTTATTTATAACCAGAACATCCTTAATCCTCCATCCTAATCCCAAAAGTTTATGCACTTTAGAAACGCATTTTTTAAAAAGAAATCAGACGTCGGAAGAACATTGCTAATAATAAACAACAACAAAAAGTTTTCGATTTTTCCGAGATTTTTCCAAGGGGTACCCCTTCAGATTTCGCGAAATTTTCGTTTTTGGCCAATAACTCCCAAACCGTTGGACATACGGAAAAATGGCATTTGACCTTTCTTGTAGAGAACGATGAGATCTACAATTTCCATGTAAAAATTTTTCGCTATCGTCAATAGTTAACGAGTAATTTACAAAAAACTGTTTTTTAATTTTTCGTCAATAACTCGTTAAATATTAATGCTAGCGAAAAACTTATACAGGAATTGTAGATCTCGTCGTCCTCTACAAGAAAGGTCCTATACAATTTTCTCGTAGATTCAACGGTTTAGGAGTAATTAAGGAAAAATGAAATTTTTTGCCAAAAGTTCGCCGTTTCGACGCTGGGATGGTCGGATTTTGTCAACATCAATAAAATGCCAAATAATCATACGTAACTCGTTAAATATCAAAGTCAGAAGGAAAACAACTTTTATTTCAAGCATTTTTCGATATTTTGAAAAAAAAAAAATTGTTCGTCATCGTCAGTACTTAATTGGATATTTCCTTCTATACCTTTTAGCACGTAGCTATTTATAATTAGCATTGTTCTTCCGACGTCTGATTTCTTTTTAA